GGTGATATTAACAATTAGGTATATGACAATGACATCAGCTACTAAATCCGACCAAAAAGAGTAGGAAAAAAGAGATTAACTATTTTTGATAGATTCATTCTTCTAAATGGCAAAAGGTGCAGATCACCCCCTCAACTCAACAACTGGTGGCAAATCACCCCCTCAACCCATTTCACGCGCAAATCACCCCCTCAACTCACCTGCAGTGGCAAATCACCCCCTCTATTAACACCGGCACTATTCTTTCGTTAGTTTTAACAGTCCATTCACCCACCCTCTGTTAAATCAAAAATTCCAGCTGCAGACAAGATCATCTCACTTGCCAAGTGTCATTGTATAAGTGGATTGTAATCTAGTATCTAATGCCATGTCAGCACCATCTCCAACTACTTTCTTCTTCCTCGTTTCTCTGAGAGCAGATAAGCAGAGAACCATGCAATGGAAACCCTTAATGCAACAAGCTTGACACCTCTTTCTTCAACTCGTCCTCTGCATTTGACAGGGCTTGTTTATGTAATCAGAATCACCATTTTCATTCAAACGACAAACCCAGATAAAAAAAAAAAGAAAAGAAAAGAAAAGAAAACCACATATGAGCATCATGAATCATAAACAATTTCACATGTCAACATCCATATCCCATGTGATCTTTCTCTTCCCCAAAATTATTAGGTGAGGACTGAGGAGGGGACTGGACTTACCGAAGGTAGCAGTGGAAAAGGTAGGAGTTTCGTCGATGAAATTCAACTTGCCGGTAATGATGGTTTTCGTTTTGCCTTCCCCGAACATCATCACATTCCACTTGCTCTTGTCTAGATTCACATTCTCCTTATACGTCCTTGCCTTCACCTTTATAATAAATCTAGTCTTGCTCTTATTCGGCACTGCCGCCACCGCCTCTTTGATTGTTTTGTACTTACCGGATCCGTCCTATGCCACTATTAAATCTGGAGAAGGGGTCGTTTACTGCAGCAGCCTCCTGTTGCCGAGGCTAACCCAACCCGGAAAGTTCGACTCTGTTTCTTGGACTCTGGGTAACTTCCTGTGAATTGGGATGTTGAAATCCACCAATAGGCTTAAGATTTTAGTGACAATTGCCAGACTATTGCTGGCAAATTCGGTGGAATTCTGCATCGCCGTTTTTAATTCGTCATGAATCGCCAAGTGCTCTGTCTCGTTCAATTCATCCAAGGCATCAAAGCAGGTTTCTTCATCGGTAATGGAAGCACTGAGTCATGTCTTCAAAGCGTCGATCTTCGACGTCGATAGCAGCTTCTCCCCCTTGTCGACTTCCATTGTGGAAACCGACTCATTGAGTCGATCCAGCGTGTTGTCAATCATGGTGGCGCAGACATCCAGCACAGCCTTGACATGGGTATCCATGATTTTCCCCTTTAGCTGGTAAGGGTAAACGAAGACCTTCATGAGCTCGTCGACGACCATGCGGAGAGCCAACTTGAAGATGACTTCTGGGTTGGTGGTATTCGACGACATCGACGGAGGAAGGGCTAATGAGCGAACTGTTAAAACTAACGAAAGAATAGTGCCGGTGTTAATAGAGGGGTGATTTGCCACTGCAGGTGAGTTGAGGGGGTGATTTGCGCGTGAAATGGGTTGAGGGGGTGATTTGCCACCAGTTGTTGAGTTGAGGGGGTGATCTGCACCTTTTGCCCTTCTAAATTTGGTAGATTCATTCTTCAAAAAGAGATTAACACTCGTCTATACCGCCTCAATCTCTTATCCTCCTTATAGCCTATGTTGCCACCATCAATCTCTGCCTTCAATCCGCACCAGCTGCCTCCAATTCCAAGCACATTTGCCTCCATTGACCATCGTCCCTCTATTGTTGGATGGTACCCGAGAAGGAGACTCAACACATGGCCGACTCCTAGTGCGCTATTGCGTACCATCATCAATCACCTACTCATGTTTCCTGTTCTGTAATCCAGGCAGCTGCGTTGTGTTGTACCAAATTATTTCATTGGCATCCTAGTGTTGGTTTGAGCTGTATTATTGCAGGCTGAAACTTTCTTAAGGCACTTAGGAAATGGGGAAGCAGTTAACATTCAAAGTGAAAGTAGATCCCGAATTACTTAACCAGAACCTTCAAACTAGCTTTTGCTATCGCATGATTTCGTCAAAAAAAAACTGTTATATAATTTAGATTACACAACAAAAATCGTTTGATAAGCTGGTAGGGCCTCTAATATTGAAGCTCTTCCCCATATGACGGTTAAAACAAGGAACCCTTGCCTCTTATCATCCACAAATTGTGTAATCTAAAATGTATTGTACTACACAATACTAACTATTAGATGAGGATTAAATTTTTGACATTAGAAGTCCACTCCCATTCAATGGTTCTTATTTTACAATCCAAACTACAACAAATTGTAAAACAAAGTTACCTTAGTGTATTAGATACTTGAGTTAAGATCTATTTATATACAAGTTTTATATATCATATTTATACAAAATCTTAACAATTTGTCTCTTTATTTTTAATAGTTAAATTGTATCCACATTTATAAAAAATAATTTTTTTATCTAAAAAATTATGGTGAATCTCAACTATTGAAAATAAAATAAATAAATGATTAAAATTTTATATAAATGATGTAAGATTTATATGTAAATAAATCATTTCTCTTAATACTTAGTTCAACAAAACCTTGATTTTGAGATAAATTTAAACATTTACAATGTTAAAGTTCAACAACTAAGTTCAGAAGTTTCCCAAAAAACAAAAAACAAGAAAAAAAAACAAGAAAAAAAAAAAAACAAAAACTCCTGTATAGATGGTGTCATGGTGAGGAAGCATAAGAGACAAAAATCTCAACACATATCCTGGTAGTTATGCTCCATTCCATGCAATTGGAAGAAGATATTACAACTATACTCCAAGAACTCAAAGTCTCAAAATTTGAAAAATCCAATACTTGTATAAAAAAAAAGACTAGTTTTTTTTATTACCAGTTTGACTAGTTTGCATTACAAATTTATATAATTTATTTTTATATAAATAGAACCTATTCATGACTCCCATGAATAGGTGAAAAAAATTAGAATTTCAAGGAAGTTAATTATTTCCAATTTTTATAAAAAGTTGCAAATCTATATTCAAGGTTCCCACACATTCAGAACAAAAATGAAACAAAATATGCTTACTGTTCCTAATTAAAGTAACTGTATAAAAACATATATCCTATTATTGAAACACAACAGACAATCAAAGTTTAAGGATGCCACAGGGCAATCTTTTAATAGTCTCCAATATCTTAGATGAATCTATTAATGAAAATAATGTAAAAATTTTCATAAAAAAAAAAATCTACTAAGAATTTCATAAAAAAAAACACTGTGAGAATTTCTTTTTTTTTTTTTTTTCTTTTTCTGATCATAAGGTAAGGTTAAATATATGAAAATGTATGAGGAAAACTGACATTGTGTACTTGCATGAAAATATACTGAAAAGATAAGCATGTCATGTTCGTGAATAATAGTGCCACCATAAAAACGTTAATAGCATAAAGCATGGTCTTTGTGTGTCTGATGTAACAAAAATGAACTAAAAATGCTGCCTTCATGATAAACTTATCATTGTTGTTTTATTGAATTTGAGTTCCCGAGTGTGGGGAAACCGTTGAATGTGACTCCAATTTAGATAATCTAACTTCTAAAAAAATGAGATTACTGCTAGTTACTCAGATCATTTGCTCAACTTATCATCATTAATTATAAAATAATTTGTTTGCTTCTCTTTGAAACTACGTAATATTTTTTGAAGTCACTAAATCATAGAAGCTATTTTCATGATCGCCCAAATAACAATCTGGGGTTATCTACCAACAGTAATGCTAATTAAGCCCATGCTATGGGAAGAATAATCAGTACTCAAATGCTTTACAAATTACAACGAAGTTCAACTCAAGATGGTCATAGAGCTCAAAAACTTAGAAAATCAATAATGCTATAGCTACAAACTTATAATGCCATGTAAAATTGTAAATTTACAATCGTGATATGTTATTAAAAAATGTAATGCATTATTAAATGACATATAATATTACAGGTTGATCTTAAATGAAAAAAATCAATTATATAACAACACATCATGTTTTATAACGTTATAACATTGTAACTATATCATTTTCATTAGAAAATTATAGAGATATGGATTAAGCTACCAATTCCTAAATCCAAATAGAACATTAGTACCTTTTCATTTAATACATGAGAATGATTTTGATTAAATATGTTTGAAGATTCTACACTCATCCCACTGAATGTTCTTGAAAATAATTCCATTTATAGACCGCCAAATAGAATAAGTTGTGATTAGGATAGTTTGTGACTAACTTCATCTTGTACAAGTTGGAATCAACATATATTTTGAGACTTTCCACACCTTTAACTTTTTAGAAAACTCTCGTTAAAGTCTTTTTTTTTTTTCAGTTATTTTTTCAAATAAAAGAAAACCACAGACTCCACTCCAGAGCATCAAAGCGACACTGCAGAAATTTGGCATAAAGGCAATCAAATCAAGTCAAGTGTATGGTAAGTTTGCTTTGATAGTTGGATGTTATAGAGTGTAACTTTCATCCAATTCAGACAGATTTAACTTGTGGTGAGAAAGAGATAATGCTTTTAACTTAAAAGTGGAAACTAATACCACCTCAAGTACGTCCTAACTTTCTTGAAGGATAGGAAAGCATAGAAAGTACCATTTATCACTTCAAAAACCACCCCCACGAAGCTAATTGGCATTAGTATTATCCAAAAAACAAAAGAAGTGGAGAAACAAGACCGTCCAGGGTGAAATCATGCTGTTCTCCTGTCCTTGGTAGGCTGTTTTTGCTTTCTATTTCCCTAATACAACAAAAATAAAAACACACAGATTATCTTGAATGAATGGAAATTGAAACCAACTGCATTTTCTATAATTATGTTGATTGAAAGAAGTATAAAGGTACTAGCAAAATGTGCGCATTTGAGAAAGAAAAAGGAATGCAATAAACAGCAAAATGAGAAAGCTATTGAGCAGTTCCTCAGTTTTTCTACCTTTCGAAGTTTTGCAAGAAGTTCCTCTGCCATTGGAGAGCCACAAAGCAAGAAGTTCTTTCACTTCCGAAGGAAGAGCCTTGCAATTCTGCTTTCCCCTCACTACTTTCAAGGACTCCAAATTAATAAAGGGAGAAGGCTGAGCTTTAAGCAACCTGGAATGCTTCGAGAGAAACTTCAAGGTGCAAACACACAAAAAAAAATGATACTTATAACCTATTATTTTATTATTTTAAGTGAAAAAAGCAGACTTGATTGGTCTCATACATACCTTAACTAAGTCTAATGATAAAGTGACTGATCTTGCATTGCCAAGCTGTCGCAACATATCAATCAGAAACCTAAACCAAGAATCCTCTCGAGGATCCAGAATTTCAGAATGTCTCATGTTAAGGTTCACATTTTCAAGAAGAGGAGAATTATCCATGGACAACAACAATGGCCTGTGACATGTAAAGCTGAAGGAGGCCAATCTGGGGGCAGTAATCACAACCTTCCGTTTTTCTATGGAAGCATAATCCGGATTCTTGGCATCCTTTCTAATGCAAAAAGAAATTTTAGACATGGTCAAGTTGACTAGGGCAGGAGCTGATATATTGAAGATGTCTGAGAAGATTAAAAAAACACCATCCAAAACAAGATTCTGCAGATCCAAGCAGCTTGAAAACAAATCAAAGCAGTGGTTTTCACTGTCTAGGACAACTCTGCAAAGAATTAAAGTCTTCAGTGATGCCAAACCAATTGAATTTGGTAAACCATAGTTGCGCAAGAAACCTTGAAGTTTGAGAACCCTCAAAGATTGGCACCTGAAAGCACTTTTCAAGACACCTTCTGAGCTATGCAAAGACAAATCAAGCTCCTGGACACTGTGAGAGACCGCAAAGCTTACAATTTTATCAAAGAGAGATTGCTCCAATGTGCTTTTGCGCATGCAAATGCTAACTGCAAGAACGTTAGAGGTCTGACAATGGTCCAAGACTTGGGACATGAAACTTCTGAAGTTAACCAATCTCTTGAAGAACTTAGAATCAAGTTTGATAACCTGAAGATGAGTACAAATGCTAACCCATCTCTTGGACAAAATACAGGTTTGAACTGCATATTTAGCGTCCATGAAGGAAAGAATATGATGAATCAAACTATCCGGTAAATCACTTAGCCGATCCACCTGGGTTTCTTCATGCCACTTTGTCTTCTTTGTATACTTCTTATCCATTTATGATGCAAAAAGTGTTGGAAGTCACAAACCTAAAAAAATAAACAGAAAGAAACAAAATGGAGAGAAAAAAAGATTTAGAAATTAAAGCATTGAATGTCACCAACACACACAAATTACCCAGAATTCCCTGAATTGATATGCAACAAGAAAAACCCATTTCGTAATTTTTACAAATTAACATATTATTTCAAATTTCAAGCAATGCATGGATCAAGAACACTTCTTCAGGACAGTGGAAAGATCAAATTTTTGAAACACCGAACCCACTTGCTTACCAAATATTCGTGGAGATTCTTCGCCCTTGTTCCCTTGAAAAACTTAAGCACAAGTTTCTTCCGATCCCTAGTTTGCCTTCAAAGTGATGGAAATCTCGCCAAATTGGAGACCCTAATAGCAGAGATGGAGGGAGTTTTAGCAATTCCCAAAATTTTCCCGCCAGTGGGAATGAGTGAAGATGGAGGCCTTGTAACAGCTGACCCAACATGGGCTAAAAGGGGCCCATCGAGTGCTGGTGGTGTAACTTGTGTGCAACATCCTTCTCAATATCCCCCTTTTTTTCGTTTTTTTTTTTTTACATTGAGAGATTAGTTGTTTGGTAGTACAATATAGAGATTTAAGCTTTTAATATTGATCTCAAATTAAAATTCTTAAATTAGTGGATATCAATTTAGTCTAATTCTTGTTAATAGATCTTCTTAATATTGTAGGAGTGGGAGAAATTTGACATTTTTTCTACATCAAAAAAGTGTCAAAAACACTAAACTTTGGATTAGGGAATGGCCTTTGATAATTGGGAGGGGCGTGTGATAATAGAAGGGCTCCTCCATTAAATTGATAATATTTTGTAGTTTGGTACAATTTAAACCATAAAATATTAAACTCTTTCTACAATTTTTTGGTATTTCAAAAGTTAATGTATTTAGTATTGTAACGATTTGAAATTCACAATAACCAAAATCAAAGTTTTCAAATTAGTCTAACCTCTTCATGGTACTTAAAAATGTTTACAATTTTAATATATTTAATGATAAACTATATAAAAAAAGATAATTCTCTCATTTTTTTCAAATCTCTCTCTACCGTATTAAATTTTGAATTTGAGATCTCTAAATCATAGTTTCAAATTTTTAACCACTTCAATTAACACCTTAGCCCAACTCTTTTATAATATATAATAGTGCTTTGACTGTTGAAAAGGCTTAAATTGCCTCCTCTTCTAATTCTCTTTTTTTTTTCCTTATTTTTTGTGCTGTAGTGGTAAGTTCAATTATCCATTCTCATAATAATAAATAGAAAAAACTCACTTTTTAAAATTTTATTTTACCAAAAGGAAGTTTAATTTTTTTTTTTTCAACAAGTCATAATGCTCTAAACAAAGATTGTGGCTGAAAATTAAAGGATTGCCAAAGGATTTATGATGATTTTCATAAACAAGAACTATAGAATTACCAAACTGATTAGCTAAGTTTCAAAAAACTACTAATTTTCAACATATGCATAAATTTCTCAAAATTCAGTAGCATTAATATTTATCCAATAAAACTGGAAACTAATCTGAAGCAGAAGACAAGAAGACCCACATCAAACAGCATGCTGTTCTGCTGTCCTAACTCCAGTCCCCCAGCCTTTTAAGCTTGCTTTTTTCCCTGCTACAACAGGAATTAAAAAACAGAGATTATCTAGTACGACTGAAAGTAAAAACCAAATTCATTTTCTACTATTATATTGACAAATAAGGGTGTAAAGTAGCCATCACAATTTCATAATTTTTGGGGTGGAAAAGGAATGCCAGGGAAGAGCCACAGCCAAGAAGAAAGAAGAAAGCAGTAAGGCAGGTTTTTTTTTTATTTTTATTTTTTTATTGGTAAATACCTTTTTGAACTTTGCTTGAAGTTCCTCTGCAAAGGGAGAGCTACGGAGAAAGAAGTTCAAAACTGGCAGAGGAATAGTCTTGCAACTCTTTCCTCCCCTCACTACTTCCAAAGACTCCAAATTAGTAAAGGGAGATGAACGATCTTCAAGTAACCTGGAATGCTTTGAGAGAATCTTCAAAGTTGAAAACAAAGAAAATTTAAGAATTTTGTAGGTGAAAAACAAAAAATGGCTAGCATTTAAGAATTGAACATTGTTATAAACTTAAGATTTTTCTACATTTCCAAATGCATACCCGTACTATATCTGATGATACCGTGAGTGATCTTGTGTTACCAAATTTTTGCAAGATTTTAATCAGAAAAGGAAACAAACGACCACCTTGGTATTCCATGTCACAAAAGTGCAATATGCTAAAGTTCACCTTGTCAAGAAAGGAAGAGTTAACCATGGACAATGATAATGGTTTGTAACATGGGAAGTTGAAGTTAAAGGAGGTCAGTCGAGGTGCAGAAATCACAAGCTTGTTTTCATTTAAGGATGGAGAAGCCCGATGTCTGTCATCCCTTGCAGCAAAAATGGTAAGATCAGACACAGTCAAATTAACTAGTGCAGGAGCTGTTATTTTTAACACTCTTGCGACCACTAAATGAACACTAGTCAGAACAAGACTCTGCAGATTGATGCAGCTTGAAAAGATATTGGAATAGTTATTGTCGCGTAGGCCAACTCTGCAAAGGCTCAAACTCTTCAGTGTCGCAAAATCTAGTGGTCTTGGAAAACCATAATTATAGCCTGTAAGCTTGAGAACCCTTAAAGATTGGCATCTGAAAAGAGTTGGAGACACTTGCAAGGTACCTACGCGAACAAAGGACAAACGAAGCTCTTGAACACTGTGAGAAAGAACAAAGCTTATAATTCTATCAAATAGGCCCTGCTCCAGTTTGCCTCTGCGTGTATGAATGCTGAGTGCAAGGACATTAATGGTGTTGCAGCGATCCAGGACATGAGATACAAAACGTTTCATGTTATCCACTCTAGTGAAGTACTTGCTGTCAAAATTAAAAGCCGGGAGATGAGTCCAAAGGCTAACCCATCTCTTTGACAAACTGCAGGTTTGAACTGCAAATTTAGTTTCCATCAAAGACAGGATGTGATGAATCAGACTGTCTGGCAAGTCACTTAGTCGATCCATCTGGGTTTCTTCATGCCCTTTGACATTCTTCGCATTTGGTCCCATTCTAGTGATTCTTTTTATGCAAAAGAAAAAGCTCTTGTATCCTGTTCAGTAATGAAACGAAAACTAAATGGGTGGAAATATAATGAAAAAGCAGATGAAAAATTAACCATAAAACCATAAAAAGTAAGTAATGAAAACAAAACCATAAAATTGCCATCCAAGGTACAGCAAAAAAACCCCATAAAAGTCATTAACCAGAATTTCACCAAATGAAACCAAAAGGGAGCAGCCATATTCCTCTGTTCCATAGACACATTGAATTGGGTATACCCAATGCCACCCAAGGTAAAACCCGAGAAAACCCCACAAGAAAAAAAAAAAAAAAAAAAATTGAATTGGGTATACCCAATGCCACCCAAGGTAAAACCCGAGAAAACCCCACAAGAAAAAAAGAAAAAAAGAAAAAATTAAGAACAATGCTTAAGGTGATATCAAATTAACACATGTACAAACAGAAAGCCATGATAACCCATTCAATATTTTATACAAATAATATCATTTCAAGCACAAGGCATGCAACAAGAACACTACTAAAAAGATCAACAATTTTTAAAAGATCAAATCGTGTACATTCAGATAACAACAAAAGATTAAATTTTGCAAATTTTCGAAACCCGTTTACTTACAATATTGTTTGGCCCTCGTTTTTCTCTCCCTCTTCAGTCTTCCCAACTCAACTTACTTCCCTTCAGGAAGATCAATCGTCACTTTCTCTCAATTGCAAGCACCAAATCGAAAACCCTAATAGCAGAAAACGAACTGTTTTTACGAATTCCCAAAATTTTCCCGCGAGGTGGAGTGAGTGTGAGCGGGTTATAACCTAGGCCTTTTTTTTTCAATAAAATAAGATGTTACAATTAATGGTTAAAATTTTATAATTTATTTTTATAAAATAAGAGTATTTGATTAAGTTTTTTTATTTAATTTATGATATAATTATATATAAAAAACTAATATTTTTTAATATTTCTAAGAATAGTTATATGATAAATTTAATAAAATTATAATTTACATTTATTTAACAATTATAATTAGATTTTTTTAATGTTTTTAATATTAAATATCTTAATTTTCTCTTTTCTTTAATTATATTTTAAAAATAAAAATAAAATCTTAAAAAGAAAAAAAATAATTTAATTTAATTTTTAAATTAAAAATTAAATATATTAAAATTGGATAAAGGAAGTAGATATTAGAAGTTGGTGGACCCTACCTTTTTGCTTCAGTAATGTGGGTCCATGAAGGGCAGTCACCGTGAAAGCCATTTTTTGAGTTAAAAAAGTTTTGGAACTGAAAAGGTAATTAAATAAAAGTTTGAGGGGTTAACTTCTACTCCACTCTTATGAAAACTGAAAAGATTTAATTTAAGGACATCACTTGGCCTTGTTTGGGAGTGTTTTGATATTATTGTAGGTTTTTTTTTTTTTTAAATAAAAAAAAAAACAGAAGTATTTTACAACATATAAAAATCCTTGAATCTGTGATAAATGGTCCATAAGAAATGGTAATGGCCACCATTGAGATGTGAGATTGTTAAGGACACTAATATTTTATTTTTTATTTTGTTAAATTACATTTTTACTCATATCTTTTCAACCTACTCTCATATTTTTGTCTCCTTTCTTAAATGGATAAAAAGGTAATTTTATAAAACAAAATGCAGAATATTGGTTAGCCTTAATAATCTCTCTAGTGGTCTTAACTAGAGCCCATTATCATCCTTTTACCGAAAAAAAAAAAAGGGAAAATGAAAATCCCTTAATTTTGATGAAGAGGCCAAACCAGAGTCTCTATTTTAAGTTTCAACAGTCATCAACAAGAATGCTGACATGAGACTAATGGTAGCTAACATGGCACTAATAGAGTTAAATCTATTGACATGCATGCGAAATACCTTTTTAACTTTTTATACATCATAAGGACAAGAGGGTAAAATGGTAATTGAACTTTTAAAAATTATTTGAATTTAGTAATTATGAAAATAATATAATTATAATGTCATGCGAGATTGTAAACTTATAATATAATATGTGGTTATATAATTGATTATTTTCACTTAAAGTCTGTCTGTGATATTACATGCATCTATTAATTTAATGACATATTATGATTGTAAACTTACAATCTTACAATCCTATAAGCAGCATTGTAACAGTAACATTCTGTTTTAATTAAGTAAACTTATAACTTTGATTTAGTAATTAATTAAGATTATAATTAACTTTAGTTCTATTAAGTAAACAGTTTTTTTTTTTTTTTTATGTAACTAAATCAAATTTTATATGGATAGATAAACAATTTTAAATGTCAAAGCAAATTAAAAGTATTACTAACTTCCTAAGCAAAACATAAAAAATACTTTTGTCAAATGAATTATAAACTTAATTTATGTGTTGTATTGAAGGTTACGGTTATAGCCACAAAAGAAATTATTAGAGCCATTAATATTTTATTTTTTATTTTGTAAAATTATTTCTTTACTCATTAAAAAAGAAAAAGACAAAAACATAAGGGTAAAGTTGAAAAAAAAAAACGCAAAAAAATTATTTAACAAAACAAATGTTAAATTTTTACCAAAAAAATAAAAGTTAAAATATCAGTGATCTTAACTATCTCTCGTGAGCCATAACAGTCCTCATATTAAAATGGTCTGTCTTCATGTTTCAAAGGCAATTAGACCTTTTTATAAACAATATAATTTACGTTTCTAACTCCTATAAAGATTTACAAGATTTAAATTTAAAAAATAAATAATCAAAGATTTACAAGATTTAAATTTAAAAAACAAATAATCAAAATATTCAGAACTTGCCAGCTGAGTCAACTCCGTTATTGAAATTCGCACCAACGAGCACAAAGTTTGCTCTTTGATGCGTAATTAAATTACACATGGAAGTCAGAAGCAATGAAAACGGAAGAACACTCTTTTAATATACTCCAACATCTTAGATGATTACAAAACAATCTTCCAATGAAAACATGGAAATAACTTATTCAAGTTAAATATATGAAAATATAAGAGAAAAATTAATACGGTGAGGTAGCAAGAAAATGCAGTAAGATAAATAAGCATGTTACTCACTAAAGATTTGTGAATAATCCTGCCACAATAAAAACGTTGATAATATAAAGAATGCTCTGTGTGTGTTTGATGTAACAAAAATGAACCGAAAATGCTACCTTCATGATAAACTTGTCATTACACTTACAATTACGATTAAATGATTAATAAAAACCGAAAATGTGAGAAAATTAGCAGCAAAACAGTAACTTCATATACTACTGAAAAGGATTGTAAATTTACAATTATAATATGATATTAAATAAATATAATATGATATTAAATGAGTATAAATTTACAATTGTGACATCGTATTAAATAATTATAACGTGATATTAAATGAGTAAATACATATATTATTAAACTTCTTTGATAATTTTGATGATAACAAAATAATCGGAAAAATTTAATGAATTTTGTGTGAATGTGTAGGACCAAAAGAAAGAATTTTAGATACAAACCTTACATAAAATCAAGTTTTCATGCATTGAAACAATGACCTTCACTCATTCATTCAAAAACATATATATGTCTACAATGAAAGTTTTGATTTAGGAGTTAGTTCATATGAAAGTAGACATCCCAAGTTTTCCAATGAATATAAGAACACTCAAAACAAAGTTTGAATAAAAAAGACATAATGATTTGAAGTTGAAGTTTGAATGAGCTTGAAGTTTCAAACATAGGTTATAAGATTCGATTCCCAAATTCCAAAGAGTTTAGAAAGATTTGGATGGAGGGCATATTCAGCTCTCCATTTGGAGAATTGACTCTTTGAACTCAAAATTTGACTATTAGTTCAAAATTCGACTCTTGGTATTCTTGGTTTGCACAAAGGAAAATTGGTCAAATTCAAGAAATTTGTGAAAAGTCTACTCTTGGTTTGGAGAATCAAATTTAGGTTTTATAGATTTGACTCTTGGTCTTTAGATTCAACTTTTGACTAGATAATAACGGATAGTTTTTTGAATCTAACATGTCTAATAAGCATTTAATGCATCCCAACAACAATAAATGGCTAGTTTCAACCTTAACTCTATAAATATGATTGGTAAACATTTTAGAGAACCTCTAGACACATATTAGAAGATTTGCAAATCTTTTTAAGAATCTGAGTTTACATTTGCAAATTAAATCTTTGAAAGATCATATCCTTTGTAATCTTTCTTTCTACCATTTCTTTGTAACCTTAGGAGTGAGTGAAGCTTCAAGAAGAGACACTTGAGGGTGAGTGAAGTCTTCAAGAGAAAAAACAAGTGAGGGTTATTGGAGTTCTTTGTAAAGGGGGGGTGTTGTAATAGGATTGGCTAGTTCCTTTGAACTACTCTTGAGTACTAGTAAAGGGTGTGAGGAAAATCCATGATGAATGAAGTCAAGGTAGATGATTAGGTGCCATATAGTTAGACTAAACCTCTATTAAATTACTTGTGCAAGCTCTTTTTCTATACTTTCTTTGTTTTTCATTTGGTAGTTGAAAAAAGAAAAAAAAAATTTGAAGGCTCCAATTCACCCATCTCTTGAAGTATTTGAGCCAACATACATAATATCACACATAGATCATTGAATGAAAAGAGTTAGATTATATAATAACATATCATATTATAAATTTACAATATCATATTATAAATTTACAATATCACATGACATTATAATTATAGCATTTTTGTTAATTTTATTACCTAAACAAAATTTTAGATGGAGAGAAGATATAAGCAATTTTAAAATTTCAAAGAAATTAAAAAGTGTTAAACTTATTAAGATATAAAAAATACTTTTGTAAGGAAGTGATGAACTTTTCAAAGTAAATTAGAAGTGTCATTTTGGAAAATGAGCAAAGGTCTATTTATATATAAATTTTATACATTACACTTATATAAAATCTCAATAACTCATCTTTTCACTTTCAATGGTTAAAATTTATTCATTTTTATTAAAAATAATTATCATTTTCATCTTAAAAAATCATGATAAATCTCATTCATTAAAAGCAAAAAGATAAATGACTAGAATTTTATGTATGTGTAAAATTTCTATATAAATAGATATATCCTCTTACAAAATATAAAAATACTTTTGTAAAATAGATTATAAACTTATTTTGTGTATTGTAATGAACTGGTTAACTTTTTTTATTGGTATGATTATTTTGAATAACACATTTACATTTAAGTTAATTTAAACTTCTCAGTAAAAATTATAGATCTCCCCTTTGTCATGTCATATTTATTCATGTGATCCAAGTATTTGATTTTTTTCTACATTCACTCTCTTCTATGCCAAACATGTCTCTGCTTTCCACATTAAGTTGAACCATAAAATCATACATCCTATTATTATTATTCTTATTATTTTGTACATAAAACTTTAATATGAGGGGAGGTTTACTTAGTTTGAGTCTAAATCATGTCACTAACTTCAATAAAGACTCATAAGATTGAAATTTAAGAAACACTTAATCAAAGTACTCAAAAGTCATTAACTGCACCAACTCTATTATTAAATTACACAACAAGACACACAAAAACTAATCTTTGATAATTAGTAATTAAATTACGTATGACAATCAATGCATTAGAATCAGAAGAACACTCTTTTAATATACTCCAACATCTTAATGAAAATATGGTAAGAACTTATTCAAGTTAAATATATGGAAATTATAAGAGAAAAACAAATATGGTGAGCTAACAAGAAAATGTAGCAAGATAAATAAACATGTTACTCATTAATTATTCGTGAATAATCCTGCCACAATAAAACCGTTTGCATTCCCGGGGTGTGTTTGAAGTAACAAAGATGAACAGAAAATGCTACCTTCATGACAAACTCATCATTGTACTTCTTAATGAATTTTAGTTATAGGCAGGGGCAACCAATGTCTTTTTAAGTCGCATTACCTGTATATTACATGAACCAGACTTATATGACTCGAATTCATTAAGTCCTCTAACTTCTAAAGAAATGAGATTACCACATGTTACTTAGATCGTTTACTTAACTTGACATCATTAAATATATATTTTAAGCATAGAGATCAAATGTTAATGTTAAAGATGTTTCAGAAAAGAAACTTCATTAAATAGAGGTCTCAATGCAAAAAGCCAAGAAACAGTTTCTTAAGCATTAAAAGATATTGACTCACGTATAATTAGCCTTTTACTTTCTTTACCAACTCGCTCGGAAGGTCTTCCCTTAGCTAGCCCAAAAATCAAGAGACCACCAATGGCAATGGAGAAGCTTAGCATCTTAGCTGTTATGGTAGTCTTGTTGTTGGCTAGCAAGGTGACATCTCCACCCACTCTAGCTCCAGGGAGTCTAATCCCGGAGCCATCATAAAAAGAGAGAGTTTTTGAAAAATGTCAACTGCTATAACTGATAAGGAATGTGGGGATGCCATTTCCAATAACATTCTTGCACAGAGTCAATAGTATCGCCAAGGATTGTTGCAAGCAACTCATCTCTTTCGGACATACTTGTTATGAAGGCATTGTGAAGTTGATCATCTCCTCACCTGTTTTCAAAGGAAATACAGCTGAAGTTTTGCGTAAGAGTGTTCAAGTCTATGGTAAGTGCTCTTCTTAAGAAGATTTCTTCCTTTGATGGTATTTGTCTATCATCCATCCTAATAATAATAATGACGATGTCAAACAATCTCTAATGTTTCATTTCCATCTTATTTTGCCAAAAGGAAGAAAAGTAATAACGCCCTATATACCATGACTAAAGCCTGCAAAGTTAAACAATATTTTCACAGAACAGTTATTTAAAAAAATGATCAGGTACGTACCAATACAAGGAATCAAGAAATTCTTACAACAACTTTGTTCTTCTTGCCAGCCGATATAAGAAGAACTTTGCCATCTACAATGTCCTCAGCCTCTATTTTTTTACTTTCATTATCCACTCTATTGTTGTTCAAGTAGAGACCTCCTTGCTTTAATAGACGCCGAGCAGCTGATTTGCTCTCAAGCAAACCAGTTGAAACTGAAAGATCAATAAGTGAAAGATTCACCACTTGATTATAAGCCAAGGAGCAAGATGGGATATCATTGGCAATCCCCTCAATGGTCTTCCAATCCAATTTTGTCTCTGATCCAGGCCTCAGTGCTTCAGTTGCCTTAAGAGCCTCGTTCAAACCATCTTCACCATGAACAAAACGAGTAACTTCCTCAGCAAGCCTTTGCTGGGTTGTATTGGGCGTGTAACCGGGTCTTGTCATTTCACTTGCCAACTCATTGATCTCTTCCATGTTCAAGAAAGTAAGAATTTTGAGAAATCTGACAACATCTGCATCTGGAACTGAGAAGAAATATTGGTAGAACTTGTAAGGGGATAACATAGATGGCGAAAGCCAAATTGCACCATCTTCTGATTTCCCAAACTTGGTTCCATCACTTTTCAACAGAAGAGGGAATGTCAACCCATAGGCTCCTTCCACCTGTAGAATTTTACGAATTAGCTCGGTCCCAGCAGTGATATTACCCCACTGGTCACTGCCACCAATTTGAACACTAACACCTTCATTCTGGAAAAGGTATAAAAAATCATAGCCCTGTAGTAGCTGGTAAGTAAATTCAGTATAGCTCATTCCTTGTTCCGATTCCAATCTCTTCTTTACGCTCTCCTTACTTATCATGGCACCCACCCTTGCAAATCGACCAACTTGTTTTAAGAAATCCAGCAACTTAACCTCTTTCCACCAGTCATAATTATTTAGAATCACAAAGGAACCACCAGAAGGGATTACATTTGAATTTAAGTTTTTGTTTTGACTTAGAATCTGTGTTATGGTGTCAACAATCCCCTTTACATTTTTCTCCAATGTATTGACATCAAGGTCTGGTCTCTCTTGGCTCTTTCCAGAAGGGTCTCCAATCCGACCAGTGGCACCTCCAATCAATGCAACAGGTTCATGGCCACATCTTTGGAACCATGAAAGCACAATGAGCCCTAGAAGGTTGCCCAAGTGTAGGCTCTCAGCAGTAGGATCAAAACCACAGTAAACTCTGAGAGGACCAGAACTTGGATCTGAACAAGCTGACCTGAGATTCTCAGAGGTAATGGATTCAATCAACCCTCTTTCTTCAAGGATTTGAACAACATTTGGGTGACTAGCAACTTTGTATTGTGGCTCAATAGTTCTTGGAGCAGACTGTACACAACACCTGATGGAAGTGAGGCTGATATTTCTTGGAGTGTAACAGTAGAGCTTGCGAGTGCAATGGATTGCAAGGGAAGATGGTATATTAGAAGAAGCAACAAAAGCAGCACTAGTCAAGGGAATAAAGAGAGTTCGATGATGGAAGGAAAGGAAGGTCCTAAAAGAAGTGGCCATGCTTGCTAAACAATGCTGAAATCCAATCCCTTCTGCTGGTAGCTACTTTAGTCTGGATTCCAGTAGAGGGTTACAAGATGCAGAACAAAGCTAGATTAGGTTATTCCTGCTATTCAGAGTAAAAACAAAAATCAGTTAACTAAAATTTTGAGGAGAAAAGAACAAACTTTATAAATAACTGAGAGAAGCATCAATGGCAGAGAAATCAACTTTGTTTTATTCAGTGAAAGAATTTCAAACACAGAATATGAATCCCAAGTGAGTACTTACCAACATAAGTTGAAATAAATGCTTTGGTCAAAAGACATGAACTTTATTAAATAAGTCAGAAGGTAAAAAACACTGTAATAGCAAACTCAAAATTTGAATTCCAGTGTTAAACTATAGACACTCAACCAAACACAAGGATGCAAGTGAAGCAGGCTTTACTACATTCACTTTTGAACATACACTAAGAAATTATAGAAAAGTACGCATTGGTTTGAAATCTATTCCTTTACAGCTAACATTATAACGACAACACTGTAAGAATTGGGAAGAAGCCAGCACAATCTCAACTAAGATACCACAAGTAAATTCATATCCCAGCTGCTCTCCACCACCTGGAAAAAGGAGTTCGTCTATCCCTATCCCGGTGGGGATCTAGACTTCCACCAATTTAAAAGGATAGAACAATCCCCACAAAATATTGACACTGTTCTTTGACAATAGCCTATATGATACAAATTTAAAGGATTTACTACAATGAAATAGGCACACAGATAAATTTTCATAGAGATAGAATAACTATCACAAAATAACTAATGTAATATTGGATTGAAAAATGAAAAACTCCAACAAAGCATCAAACTTCCAACACAGAAACACAAGATATCAACTGAAACTCCATCTAGTAAATACATAAACTCACTGCAGCAATCCAAACAAAATTCAATCCATGAAAACAACAAGCTCATGTAATTAGGACAGAAAAACTATTACAGCAAGCAAAACCCTTGAGCAGACAGGCGTATCTAGTTCAATTGCTGGAAATATACAGACACAGAACTACTCTAAGACTTACGAGAGAAATATTTGCAGGTGAAGAAAAATGCAGAGGGCAGAGGCCGCCACCGTTGGAGACAACGACGGCGGGCTGGCCGGTGGTTGTGGGTGGCTGCCAAATAACAGAAACGGATAGGGGGAATGGGAAGACTAGGACTTTGAGAGTTTTTTGTTTCTGAGTTTGGGAATTTGGGCCAAACTTGTGTCTGGGCTGTGAGAAAATGGGCTGTAAGTAAGCCTGTAGCATACCATCTCCTTTTCTACTTTGCCCGTCTCTGCAAAACTTCAATCTGCATCGGCTTCCTCCGCCTCACTAGCTCCGCCACATATCTCGCCGCCGGCCACCATCCACAAAGAATCCAATTGATCGGCGCCCTTTACACTTGCTGGCATCAATCGGAAACCCACCTCCATCTTTCGCAGTTTTTCAACGGGAGGATTTCTCTTTTTTTACAATTGCAATTCAGGTGCATTTCTCTTGCACTCATTTCATTATGCCCCATGTGCTTTCTTCTTGGCTGCATAGTAGAGAAAGATTACACCTATTTTTGACGATTTCACTTTTGCATTTTTGCAGTACTTTTGATTTTTGCACTTGCGCAGTGATACAATGTCATGGTCAAGGCTTTCCTGTAGAATCATTCTCCATCGTTCCAAGAATCTTGGGCATTTCTCTCATGAACCCAGGTGAACATTTGAGTTTTGCTAACAATAAAGTACAGACCTTTATTATCTGAGTACTTTGGGGAAACTAAAAGCATGGAGCTGAAGAAATAAGCATGGTTTGTTTAATAAATCTTTGCTGAAAAGTCATGTTTGTCTGGTCCAGGTTTGTTCTTCCTAATGTTTTATGTCAGAGGTATTGCTTGATCAGAGCCTCTACTGAGTCCACGCAATATTCTCACCATGATGCTTGGGGTCTAATGCCAAGACGTGGATTGAGCATAGGATCATGTAATAAATCTTTCTGCTTCCGTCCTTATGATCCTCAGTGTATTAGAAGATCTCCTTCTTTGCTTAGCATTCAGCGGCATTATGCTTCTCAAGCTTTGAACGAGAAGAAATCTAGAAAGATGCTTGTATACCTTACAGCACTGGTTTTTGCAATGGTGGGACTTACTTATGCTGCTGTACCTTTGTACCGGAGATTCTGCCAAGCTACGGGGTATGGGGGTACCATACAGCGTCGTGAGGTGAGGCTGGGATGATTGTTTTTAATTTTTTTTTTTTCTGATTTCTTTTAATTATCAATTTATTCTTCGCTGGTTTGTTCACAATAAGAGCTTGCTGTCTTTTAGACCGTTGAAGAAAAGATTGCTAGGCATGCCAAAGATGGAACAGTCTCAACCAGGTGCGCATTCTGGGCCTCAGATGTAAGGGCTTATCCTTAACTTTGTTGTTTTTAATCATAACATTATATTACTTCAGGTTTTCTGGAAGAGATTCTATTTCTAGATGTAGTTCTTGTGTGACTTTTGATTTTCAAGTATGTTTAGACAACTTTTGCTATTATCTGATTGGATGAATTGGTGAAAAATGGAATGAAAAATGATAATCCACTAGAAATGATACTTCTGTTTTTGAATGTTATACCAGACTTTTGCTTATATCACCTTTTCACAAGACCTCTCTCCCTACCAAAAGTAGAAAAATGGTAGGATTTCTGTGGCTGATTTTCTGGAGATGAAACCCTATGGGACTCCAAGTTCCAACTGTATGCTAGAATACAGTATGTTGAGAAGAAAGTGAAAATAAAGAAAAGGATATATTCCTAATCACTAAGACTCGATTTCCCCTTGTATATAGTGAACTTAAAGTGTCCAAGCATGCCCATCCTTAAAATCAGAGTGGATATTGTCATTTTCTAATTTTCAATCTGGCACTTAAGTGGACTCGCGAAATTTGTTAATGAGACTGCTCTTTGCATGAGATATATGGTATTTAGACTTTGATAAAGTCGAAGAGTTCCTTATCCTAACTTCTAATTATATACATGCTCTCATGCAAGTCTACTGCAAAAAGTCTACCTATACAGGACTGCCTCAAGTAATCAACTGATAGCATCTCTAATATAACTAGGTTTAGAATCTTTTCATAATTTCTTATTTTTTGGTCTGTATGTTTATTCAACTCAAGTTAATGCATGCATTTTTGGGAGTTTCCATTCTGAAGCATATGGACTTTGACCAGAATGAACAACAAGTTTTTCCTTCCCTTGATGAGTATTTGTCTCTTTCCTCAGGGAGATAGTTGTCCAGTTTAATGCTGATGTCTCTGATGGAATGCAATGGAAATTTGTTCCCACTCAAAGAGAGGTGATTCTCACTTTCAAGTTCTCTTCTGTTCAGTTTTCTGCAATTTAGAGGGTGGCCTTCTGATTTCATATTGTTTAACATATCTACTCATTGATTCTTTCTCCCAGGTAAGAGTCAAACCAGGAGAGAGCGCCCTTGCATTTTATACTGCTGAAAATAAGAGCTCAAAAGCAATAACTGGCATGTCTACATATAATGTCACCCCAATGAAGGTACATTTATATTTCAAAGTATTTCTTCATATATTTTTAAAATGTCTTGACAGAATTTTTCCACAATAAATCTCTGTGGCATTTCATGAAACATGATCTTTTGCTTCGTTCTCTGCTATTCAACTTCATATTTACTGATCACTTGGGTTAAATTAGGAGTGCCTGATGCTGAGACTTCGTCTATCCTTCCCTTACCCTTTCCCTTTGGGAGGTTCCTTCAAAATATACATCTATTCTTTTGAATCCTGTTTAGGGGTATAACTGTTAAATAATTGATCTTATGCTGGAAAGTATGAGTAGTTGTAAAGGGTCATTTGATCTGTCTGCTTCTGTTTTTCTTTTCCATTTTCAGGCTGCTATATACTTCAACAAAATCCAGTGTTTTTGCTTTGAGGAGCAGCGTCTTCTTCCTGGAGAGCAGGTTGACATGCCTGTAAGTGTAGCTTTAACTTTGTTTATATTGTGAGAGGGAGGATTTAAATGCTTCTCTTTTAGATAAGAGAACAGAACATGTATCTTACAAATTGAGCTCTATAACCTCAAGTGCTTTACAGTACAATTTTTAGTTTCTGGAGAGAACTTGTTTTTGATTATTCAGTGCTGCGTGTGCGTCTTTGCAGGTTTTCTTCTACATTGACCCTGAGTTTGAAACAGATCCTAAAATGGACGGTATCAACAACCTGATCTTGTCCTATACATTTTTCAAGATTTCCGAGGAATGAAGGAAGAATTCAGTTATCAAATTCAGAGAATGATGGATGTGAGAATAAAAACAGCCAATTCAAGGAACCAAACATGATTTTGTGTAGAATGACTAGAAAGGAAGAAATGTTCCTTTATATGAACTTTAGAGTTTAGACTATAATTCAAATGCTATGTTATTTTCATTTTTATTCCAAGTTAATTGGACAGGTGAATGTACAATGGTATAACGGTTTGTTTAATATCAATAAAAAAAAAAAAAATTGAAGTTTAATTGTTTGCTTGACCTCTATCTAATGGTGTCTTGAACCTAATTGTATAGATTTGTTTACTAGCAGTTTCTTCTATTACTCTTTGTTGTAAGTATAGCTTTTAGTATAGCTTTGACACCATGTGACATGGTATCTTCCTTGATTTGATGATTTTTTTTTTTTTTTATTGGGTATCTAACTGGGTATTATTGATTTATTGTAATATCACTATAATTTTAATAAATAAATAAAAGAAAACAGATTTTCATAATTTTTAATTAATCTCTTCGTACTTCATTTTCAATTTTACTGAATTAAAAAAATAAAAATATTGTAATTATAATATTACATAATAATATATATAATATAATATAATAAATTATTATATAATTATTTATTATTTAAAAATTTATTTGTAATATTATTTATATTAACACCTTTAATAATACATCAAATTATAAATTTATAATTTTAAGTAATATTATAATTATCCAAATACAATTACAATCAAAATTTTTAATCTTTTTGTACTAATATATTTTTTTTCTTTTTCATTTTCATTTTCTGTGAAAAATAATTGAATAACCGATTTTATTTGGAAGATTAGTTCTTTGGACTCCCGCTGCATATCTTTACCTGGAAGTTCAAACCCTGGCTTAGCCATTTCTTCAAGTTGAGAGGATCGATCAACCTTCAATCTCTATAGGTTTGCCTTGATTTCGTCGACGAAATCTCCACCAGCTCGCTACCTTCATTTGCTCTAACAGGTAAACTCTAATTTTTATTCAATTTAAGCGTTAGGTTTGAAATGAATTGATAGAGGTTTCAAAAGCATATATTCATTGTTCTCCGACCCTTTTTTCATCTTCTTGCTGTAAGTATCGAAAGCTGTTACCTTTCGCCGATTCAGAGTTGGTAAGTCAGGTTACAAAAAAGTGCACACCAAGTGTTCGATAAGGTTTCTCTTAGAAGCTTAATTGATAGATAAGTGAATATAACTAAATTGTAAGGTTTTACTGCTATAGACAAGGCAAACAAAAAAATGGGGCTGTCTTGAATTGATGAATATTGGTTTTTCTTGAATGTTTTTGGTTGGTTTAAGATATAGTATGAGTTGGGTATTTGAAATGATTTTGTGTAAGTGTAAATGACTGTTGGACATGGAATTCACTCCTAAGTCAAACTTTTGAGTGGAATAAAAAAGGGAGTAAGAAAACAATGCATATGAAGTAGAATAGTTTTCTTCTAGTGTCTTTAGTTACTCAGCTTTTGCTTCTTTTATTCATTGAGAAAACCATGCCATCGAAATGCTTTCTTCTTTTACCAAAGCTTTTTTGACCCAAATTTCTACTGCTTTTCATTTTCATTTTTTTCCTAATTTCTTCAGCTATTGTCCCTCTTTCTTTTCCAGTGTGATATGTGAATGTGGTTTCAAGCTTTAGTTTTTTGTCTGTAGTAGCTATTTTGATTATTGATTTGCAGAGCTAATATACTAATGAAGATGTTGCATGGAACCCTTTTCTGTTTGTATGTAATGGCTATCTATGTTGTTTATTGACTTGCAGAGAGCTAATATACTGATAAAGATGCCGCATAGAACCCGGCCCATGACAGCACTTTTGGTGTTTACTGGGCTGAATTTTGTTTTGGTTTCAACCATTACTCCAGTCTATGATTTTGTGTGCTTCCTTCCTTACTGGGAAAGAAGGGTATATTCTGATCTTTAATCTCTATTCTTTTGCAAGCAAATTGCAAAGTACACCATACAGATTTCTGATCTCTCATCTCATTCTCTTGTACATTTTTACTTTCTGAACAGTATACTCAAATCTATATAGAAACTTTCTGAATTGTGGCCTAGATGTTCTTGCCATTAGTCACTTATTTTATTCATTTATTGACTTTGAGATCTCTAGGCAACAGATAACTTAAATGTACAATTCTGCAAAGATATAGGTCTACTTGTTTTTCATAGCTTCAATCAACATTGCAGTCCCATTTGCAGTAACCACTTCTCTGGCTACAGACCTATGTCCTTTTTTTTTTTTTCTTTTTCTTTTTTTAATTTGTTTTGCTATATTTTTTTTTTTTTTTCTTTTTCTTTTTTTAATTTGTTTTGCTATATTTTTATCTATCCACCTAAATCTCCTTCCTTCCAATTATAATTGAGTTTATTTTAGCAAGTATAATGCACTTTATCTCTGGCAAGTAATTTGATTTTGGTTGGCTGACAAAAATAGTCTTACCAAACATAAACTAGGCCAATCTATCAATGCTCATATGTAGAGTGTGTTCCCTTTAATGCTAGGCTGATTTCGTCAACTTAAGTTTATTTTAGCTTAAATCTTCCTGTTTCTTGGATTTGTTTCAGCGAGAAAGGCGTCGGCAGGAACGTGAAGCTGCATTGGCAAATAAATCAGAATCCATCTTGAAATGATGTCAAAGGCCACTCTCTTGGATCGTGAATTCCTAATCAATTAATGTAACAATCAAACAAGAGATCAATTTTAGTCTTTTGAAGTCAAAAATACAAAGCAAAGTGAGGTGAGAAGCTTGTGTCTACTTTTTCATCCAGGTTTTAACTTTTAAGCTGTAAAATTGAGGAGAGGTATGAGGAGACATGTAGATTATTATGTTACAGTTAATATGTGTTAATCTGTTTCAATGAAAAAATCTGACTTTTACTTCAAATATTTCTTCGTTTGCTTGGGGAATGGGAGGTGATGAATAAAGAGTCACAGTCAGGCATGATATTTGAAATATCATTTTTCTTTCTTCTAGGAAGCCAGTTATGGCTATAGACCTCTAGTGCTTGCTTCTTCTTTTTTTTTCTTTTAGATTGTTGATAAGTAATCTCTCTAGTGCTCCCAACCCTACTTGTAGGCTTGTAGCTATATTGCAATACCATTTTAGAAAAAGTTTGTTGGTGCACTTGGCTTAAAAGCTATGCTTTGGGAGATATATACCCCCGTTTTTTTTTATTTTTATGTTTACAACGTGGTTATCCAAAGTTTTGGCCTAGCTAATCTTATTAATACTTGCAAACTATCATGTTCCCAAGTATCGAATAAGACTTCATCTTCAAAGGTGGCAAGCGTAACCCATTGGAGTTGCTTGCACTTAAATGGTATTGGAAGAATTTAAACCAACATTTTTAGCAAGGTTCAAATAATTTCTCAACCACTTGAATCAATTCTAATGGGTTCACCCTTTTCATTTTTGAGAAGCAAAAAACGGGTAGCTTTGTTTGGAGGTTGCCGACATTTCCATTTTCTCCTGACTTCTGCCAACCATCCACCAACAAATGGCTGGATTGGTGAAACAATGCCATTAAAGAAACCCGATGCATGCTTTCCTGAAAATGGTCTTTAACTACAGGTATGCCTTCACAAGGAAGCACCAATTTTAGGCTCTTTAGCTCTTTTAGTCATAGTAGCCACCAATTTGAAAGCACATGGGCTGAGAATCTCTTTACTGTTTGCTTAAGCAAACTGTATGCATTGTTACTTGAAGCACACATTATAAAACTGATTCTTTTGCACAAAGCATTTCACTTGGCCGGCCACCTCACTGCCTCACCTACTATTCTTATGCTTTCCATTAGGGGTGGGCGTATTCTGTTAATACTTTATATTACCCTTAGTACGATTGTGTAAGAATCAAAATAAGACTGCTAACGAACCGGGTCTTGTGACCTAATGGTTCGACCCCAAGTCTTAATTGTTTGGGTGAGGTGGTCGGAGTTTCGAGCTTCACTACCGTCGTGAATTCCACAAAAAAGCAACCTGATAACTGCACGCCTCTCCACTACCGTCGTGAACTCCACGAAAAAGCGATCTGATAACTACACGCCTCATTTGAAAGGTAGAATGTTCATCTAGTCTGAGAATCAATCGCTAACAATTAACTCACACTAACTTTATAACCATTACCCTTATAAAAAAATTAAAAAAAAAAAAGACTGCTAACTTAAAATTTTAAATATTTATCCTTTGAAATATCCCAAAAAAATAAAAAGTGTTGTTCCAAAAAAGTAACTGCCTAGCTGTGGTTGCTGGGGACCAAACCAACACCACCACGTGGATTTTCTGGTCCAAACTATAAAAAAAGTATAATAGTGTAATAATTTAAGATTTCAATAATCTGAAAAGGGATGAGAATAGAAGCGAATCAAAGATTTGGATTATTAAGCTGGCACTGAACTTCTAGCTTTTGTGTGCTATAATTGTACGACCAATAATCTATTGTTGATCATGTGCTTTTCAATCGGATTAGATGTTAAAAATTCTATTCCTCATGTTCAAAAAAAAAAATTCTATTCCTCAACTTTTCGTTTTACCCAGATTTGGTACCTAATTTTTATTGCAGGACAAGTCTAAGGTCGCACTTAGACTTAAAATGGGCACAAATTGATAAGAAAATACCTTCATTGTCTAAATAAATAAACCATTCAACAAAGAATCAACCTTAACATGAAATAATCTTATGAGTTTCATTTTTTGATTTTAAATTGCATTGAATTGCAAAAACAAGAATCATTGAATGGAAAACTAATATTAAGGGCTTATTTTTTATTTAATGATTTATATCATACAATTTAAACTGTACAATTATTTTTTTAATCTTATATTAACCAAAAGTCTTGTCATTAGTAAACATTATTATATATGCATTTATTTTATGTGATTCTATTTATAATTTAATTTTTAAAGTTATAATTATTTGGCATTTGAATAGTAATTAATTAACTATAGTTATTAATTCCATCTCTGAAATAAGAAAATGAACTAGGATCTACCTACCTACATTATTCCTTCTTTTAAAACACATGTGAAAGGAAAATATTTTAATGTTGGTACTTTTTTGGGTTCACACATTTCATATCTAATGAAACTAAACTCTTTCTAATATATATGCACTCTACTTAGACGTCCAATGACTACTTTATATTATAATGGACTCTATTAATTCTTTTACCTTATTTTTATCTTTTCTTTTTAATGTGGACGCCTCATATAAATACACAAAATTTTAAAATCATGCAATTGAGGATATTGTCTTTTATTGAATGCAATTAAAGACACTATTTAGACGATGGCAGCAAATGTGGTACATTAATAACATTAAGAAACTGTGCACTCGTGACCCATGAAATCCGACCAAGCTGATGTAGTTCTTTTTTCTTACCCTTGGATTTGATTTTTGAAATAAGGGGAATGCTAGTGGCACTCAACGTAATAATGAAATGTATATGCAGTCATTTTTTAATTGAACGAATCTCAAATTAATTTTTAAAAATAACTATAAATAGTACACACTTGGGCAATCAAGTGCATTAGTAATATTCCCTAAGAAATATTTCTCCTTAATCCATGATAAAGTACAAAGTAGTATTTTTCAAAGGGAAAAGCTCTATAGGACCCAAAAAAGGGATGGTGGAAATAGTTCTACACAAAAATTTAGTTGAATTGAAAATTAAAATCCAAATCTTTTAATTGTTGGGGAGATGCTCAACATTGACCTAAGGTTTGCTATTGGGTCTTGAAATACAATAAAAACCCAATAGTCAAATGTGAGTGATAAAAAACTTATTTATGTGACCAATAATACGTGAATCAATCAAACAATAACATTGAGTATTAGTGTTATAAATAAAGTTATAAATACCCGTATTCTACTTGTATTAGAGACTAACTTTATTATGCTTCTCTTTCCGTAATATTTAGTTTTGTGAGATTTTTTTCTTCTAAAACAATGATTAAGAACTTGAATATCAAAGTATTTTTCCTAAAATACTTTCTCATAATTTTTAGATATTAAAACAGTTTAAACATTCACTAAAAAATTAGAGCTCGTAAATATATCCAAACAATAACGTTAAACAACTACAAATGTATTAAAAAGTTCTGCAAGTGTCGATTGGTCAGTGTCACACAGCCTCATCTCTTTATAGAATCAATGAAATATAATGAAACATTGACAAAAAAAAGGGGAAATGGACCCAAACATTAGTTAAATTTCACGCTTTGGCCATCGCGAAACAGGCAGCCATGTGGTCTCTACTCTTCCCCCACCCAGTAGCATACAACCATGTGCTCCTGTCTTAGGCTTTCTGTTTTCGCTTTCCAATGTTCCCCTTCTTGCCACCCCACCATCTTTATCCTGTACTCTTTCCTAATTTTTTTTTATTAAGTTCTTTATTCGATAATAACATGCATCTTGATTAATTTAAAATTAAATTATGTTAAATTTTATAAAAAAATATTTTTAATATTTATTTTTTTATTCATAAAATTCAAATACAAAATTTTATTTAAAAAAAAAAACCAAATTCTTTCGACTCAATCATCGGACAGTTTTAATAACCTTTCCTAATTTCACCGATGCGGAATCATGCGATCCAAATAAAATAAATTTCAACCGTTGGATGTCAGAAGATTAGGAGCCGCTGTGAGATGAGCTCGCATAAGTAAGTCTAAGCCAAACACGGGTCCCTTCTATCGAGACTATGATAGTAGTAGGTGTTTCCTATCTTTTCTTTTCTTTTCTTTTTTTTAATGGAAGTAGGTTTTCTTCTTGATTTGGAGCTTCAACTCCTAATTGCAGCCAACCATTTTGACTATCAGTAACCAATTTTTTATTACAAAGTTGGTTTGGTTTGGTTAAAGGTAAACGAAGGAGAAAAGAGACGAAACATTAAATTTTTTACCTAATTAGATTATAATATTTTAAATATTATAATTTAATTAATTAAAATTTTTTATTTTTTA